AGCACGATGCGGATCTTAAATGTCAGCGTGTCGAGTTTGAGGTAGGTGACTTTGTTGGGCGGTGTTAACAAAGGATCGTATTCTTGCTCATGAATACACCAAGCTTGCATCCTAATGCTTATAGTTTGAAGGTTCCTGCCATATTCGTACATTCGACGATTTTAATTGTGCCATTTAGTGGGGATAATTCTAATGAAGATGTTGCTTCTCCTCCAAATTTCGAGGCGAATTTTTCTCAACCAGGGGAGAATGATGTGGTGCAGAAGGAATCAAACTTTATGGCAAAGTGGGACCGGCGAAAACAGAAATAGGCAACTTCCCAATTTTAGGAAAAATTTTGGAGTTGTCCGTTTCTGCGAGATTTTAGTCAAATTTAAATGGAAATGGACCAATGAACAAGACTTAGGGGCTTTCCCCCCAATGCAGGGCCAATTCCGGGCAAATTCCCTCGTTTATGTGTTTTTTCCTTTTTTGGTAATTTTTTTTTTGGTATATCTCAATCAAATAAATTCAGATTTTAATTCCATTTTTTGGATGATGATCTTGACGATTATGACTTTCAAATTCTGTAATTATCTTGATTTTTTCCATTTTTGGAAAAAAGTCTTTCTTCTCATTATGTAATTTTTCCGAATTGTCTTAGGGTTTTCGCTATATAAAGCATTGTAAGCCCTTTGAAGCCGTATTGGTAGAAAGAAATAATTTTTTTTGGAATTTCTATTCGTTGAAATTTTTTGTGAGATTTTTCCATTTTTGCTATGAGCTTCCGCTACGTCACTAACCCACCCACCTACCCTTTCTCTCTATTTTATTCTTCTCTCTGAATTGAGCTACAAATGAACTATGTTATTCATACGTCTCCCTCACACCTTGCTCACCTTCACCATCTTTATATGCTGTATAATTTAATATATGTTTGTAGATGTAGAAGATCAAAACCAAGGTCTTATAGGTTTGGTCATTGAACGTGCCACGACTTGAAAAAATGTAAAATAAATGAATAACACACACACACACACACATAGAGATCTCCTAAGCACCGATAATTAGTTTGTTATAAGCATCCAAGTGACATGACATACTAGAATGGGTGGTGGGAGATAACATTTGATTACGAAACTGATTACATTATCTATAGTAGTTTGCCAAATTATCTGGTGCTTAGAAGATCAATTTCGTGTGTGTATATGTCAACCTTCAGAAAATATTTAAACCTTAATCACTAGTAATGAACTCAATTTTCTGATCGATTCAAAATATAAGTCATGTTGCACTCTACTTCGCCAACCAAACAACCAACTCATATTCTTACAA